GGTCGGGGTGGGGCTCCGTTTGGGGGTGGGGACTGGGAGGTGGAGCTCCGAGGGAGTGGTAAGGGGCAGAACTTTGGGGGAGAACAGGGCTGATGGGGACGAGAGCGGAGCCTATATCAGTCAGCGATCAACAGGAGAAACGGAGCCTGTAGGGAGGCATATGTTAAGGGATTTTTGGAAGGAATTGGCTTACAGGATTGTGGGCGCTGGCCACTCTGAAACCTGCAGGGCGGGTCGTCAGGGAGAGCAGGCAGGAGATGAAGCTGCCTCTCCAACTCGGAAATCTCAGCTCGGCTCTTTAAGCCTTTCAACTGACTGAAACAGGCCCACCCAGATTAACTAGGATGATCTCCGTCACTAAAGTCAACTGATTGTGGACTTGAATCACATCTCCAGATATCTTCGCAGCAACATGCAGATTATCGTTTGAATAACTGGGGATGTGACACATAAAACTGACTATGAGAGTCCACCTGTTGGCAACTTGGCACTTCCGTCCGCTAGGGCTGTCCTAACAAAAGATCACGGGCTGGGTGGTGTAAACAAGATCTAGTTCCTGGTGAGGGCTCTCTTCCTAGCTTGCAGATGGCCACCATCTCCTCCTGTGCTCACATAGCACGTGGAGAGAGAGCGATTTTTCATGTCTCTTCCGTTTATAAGGACCCCAATCCCACTGATCAGGGCCCCATCCTTATGGCCTCATTTAACCTTAATTACCTCCTTAAAGGCCCCATCTCCAAATACAGTCACATTGAGGATTAGGGCTTCAACATATGAATTTGGGGAGAACACAAACATTCAGTCCATAACAGGCACCCATACACGTCTCCCTAAATCATACTTAAAAAAAAATAAAGGAATACAGTGTGTTCCTTTGAGACAAGATATCTCAAGGTTAAGCCCAAGTGTCAGGATCCACAGGTTCACTGTTCCTGTCTTTGATGCTTCTGAGGGGGAATGCTGAGATCATGCCTCCCCTGCAGAGGAAGGCCGCACACCCGCCTTGGCTCTGCTCTACACACAGCGGTTGAAGACCATCCATTATATGATGACGACCTGCCTCTCCATTGTTGTTCAGTGTGCCCCACTACTAGAGGCGTATTCTCAGATGTTCCATTGCCTAAGGATCTCCAGCTTTGTGGTTGTCATGCTCCTATAGAAATCCAGAGTCCCTGATACCTTGTGTTCCAGATGACCACAGCATCGACTAGGATTGTTATCATGCAGCCCTAAATATACTTGTGGAGGACTTCCCTGGTGGTCCAGTGGTTAAGACTTTGTGCTTCCACTGCAGGGGGTGCGTGTTCGATCCCTGGTCAGGGAACTAAGATCCCCACATGCCACACGGCACGGAAAAAAAAAAATATACTTGTGGCATTATTTAAGGACTCTAGGGATAATAGCTGTATCAGGCCTGCAAAACACCAGTTTACTGCATTCAAAGCTGCTATCAATATTGCCATCGTCCACATGCCATATCCAACTCTTGAAGTCTTGGTTTATGTAACCGTTGTCATGGAGCAACCCTGGTATCACCAAGTTCTAATGGCCATTCTCCGAATGGACTTCATCGGCCCAGCATCACAGATGATGGTCCAAGTTCATAGGGTTCCAAAAGAGGCCCAGATGCCTGTACTTTATGCCATTGACGCCTTCCTGCGGGAGTTTGATTCTACCTTGATACTCATAACAGGAACCATAGATGAGATTCTGAAATTCTGTGAAGCATGTGAGTGATTAAAGGCCAAAACTGGGACATGGTTCCTGTGTGCAATTTGCCATCCTGAAACTCTCCTCGTAGCACCAACAGCAATCCCCAAGCTTGCCTCTGCAGCGTGACATTGTGCATTTGAGACAGTGCCTATGATGAGGAATTACTGTGCAGGAAAGTCTATAAGAGGCCGGCTGCCAGAAGACAGTCTTCACAAAATGTCCGAAGGAAGCTTCCAAAGGCTGGAGGAACATTCTTTACTCCAGAAAGAGATCCTGGAGTCATTTGGAATCACCAGAGATGTATGGAGAAGCATTCAGGAAGTCCAGTAGGAAATGACAAGCTGAGCCTGACTCTTTCGTGGTCAAGGATTAAAAATAGAAAAGAAAAGAAAGAACAAAGTCACGCTTCCACATGATATGATACAACCATCCCGAGTACAACTGAAAATGCTCTCTTTCCCCATAAGACGATGTCCTTGCGTGATACTCCGTCTTCTCCTTTGATATCCCGTAACAAATATCACGGTATAAAGTTAATTATTATTAATATCTTATGTTAGATGATAAGCGGGTAGAAGAGGGAAGAAAACAAAAATATTTGGTGTACACACATATTCATAACGAAGTAAGGAAGAAAATACTATGACTGTCCTCACAGCTGCAACTGGTCACGTGGCTGTGGCTTCCTTCTCTTCCTGCTCCACTGCCTGGTCCATATTCCCTTTGCCCTCAGCCAGCACCTCACCTGCTCATGGTGTTTTGTCTGTTGGGGTGGCCCAAAACTTTATTCCTTTTTTTTTTTTCTGGCCTCACCGAGTGGCTTGTGGGATCTCAATTCCCCGACCAGAGATTATCGAACCCGCGCCCTAGGCAGTGAAAGCGTGGAGTCCTAACCACTGGACCGTCAGGGAGTTCCCCAAACCTTTATTCCTGAAGGCTCTCAGCCATTAGCAGTTCTGCCTGAATTGGGTTTTGCAGTTTTCCGCTGACGTTAATTACACTAGGAAGAGGCATCCTGAGGGACCTGCTGTGTTCCAGATCTTCAGAAAAGGAGAAAGTGGCGAAGGTGGGGGGCGGGGGTTAGCTGAGCTTTAGTGCCCAGGTCAGGTGGAGGCTCTGTCTCTGACCGTCGGGCGCCCCACACAGGCTGCGGACTGAACTACCACAAACGCTGCGCCTTCAGCATCCCCAACAACTGCAGTGGGGCCCGCAAGCGACGCCTATCGTCCACGTCTCTGGCCAGTGGCCATTCGGTGCGCCTGGGCACCTCTGAGTCCCTGCTCAGCATGGCTGATGAGCTGGTGAGCAGCTGGGGGAGTGGGGAGGGGTGGGGGGTGGGGGTTGATGAGGTCCAGGCGCAGGGACGACACGCCGAGGTGTTCCTTTCCACCTTGCCATCTGATAGAGCCGTAGCACCACCGAGCTGATCCCTCGCCGCCCCCCGTCCTCGTCCTCCTCATCTTCTGCCTCATCCTACACCGGTCGCCCGATCGAGCTGGACAAGATGCTGCTGTCCAAGGTCAAGGTGCCACACACTTTCCTCATCCACAGCTACACACGGCCCACCGTCTGCCAGGCTTGCAAGAAACTGCTCAAGGGCCTCTTTCGCCAGGGCCTGCAGTGCAAAGGTCAGCAGGGGCCCCCCACGTTGGGGCGTGGCGAGGGACAGAGTCAGAACACCCCCCATCACACAGACACACTCAGAGGCTTAGGATCTCAGCTGGGCTTGTGGCAGGAAACAAAAATCTCTGTTCCGATCCTTAGAAGCACAGGGCCTTGGAAAGGGAGTGCCCTGAATCCTGAAGTTCTAGAACCTTTGGAATTCTGGAATCCTAGAACCTCAGTCATTAGAAACTTGGAATCCTAGCACCTAAGAAATCTAGATTCATATGATACTTAGCATGGAATTCTAAAACTGTAGAACTTGAGAATTCTTGAATCAGAGAACCTTAGAAACATAAGTTTCAAGAATTCTAGATCATAGGATTCAGCAAAAAGAATCATAGAACTTTAGACTCATAAATATTAGAACTATCAGATTATAGATTCTCAGAATGTTAGAACTTTAAAACCATAGGAATTGAGAAGAATAGAAACCTAGAAGCAAAACATTTGAGTCTTAGAAGTCTAGAATCATATAGCCTTGGAACCATCAAATTCTGGAGTCCTAGAAATCTAAGATCCCGGAACTTTGAATGATCAAATTCTGAAATACCAGAAGTCTAGATCCATAAAAAGGTTAGAGCCATCCAATTCTAGAATTCATCAGAACAATCAAATTCTAGAATCTTAGATGTCTACAGCTAAAGAACCGTAGAAACATTAAGTTCTAGATTCCTGGGTGTACAGAACCCAAGAACTTTGGAACTATCTGATTCTAGAGGCTTAGAAGTCTAGAATCATAGAACTGTAGAGTCACCGAATTCTAGAGTTTAGGTACATAAGACCTTAAAACCTGAGATATCAAAGAATCTTAGCAGAGTCTAGAACTGTAGAAGTGTAGAAGCATAGATGTGTGGAGTTCTAGAAACTTGGACATCAAACTGCAGTCTTAGAAATCTAGAATCATAAGGACCTTAGCAAAATAAGTTTTCATACAATTCCAGGATCTTTGATGTGTAGCAGCCCAGAACCTCGGAGTCTTCCAACTTCTCGACCAAACAATGGTTCTCAACCAAGGACAGTTTTGCCCAAGGGGGGATGTTTGGCAATGTCTGGAAACATCTTTGTTTGTCATATGGGGCTGGTGCTACTGGCATCAGATGGGTAGAGATCAGGGATGCTGCTAAAAATCCTATGATGTTCAGAAGAACCCGCCGCAACAAGGAATTTTCCAGCCCAAAATGTTCATAGTGCCAAAGGTTGAGAAACCCCACCCTCAAAAGCCTGAAGTCTAGAATCATAGAATGTTACATGCGATTACACTCTATAATTGTAGAAATCTAGGGTGACAGATATTTACACTGTTAGAACTTTAGACCCTTAGAGTACTAGGGCTATCAAGCCACGGACACTTCATCTGGCCCTCCTCTATTTAATCAAGCCTCTCCATAGTTGGGGACTGTGGCTTAAAGGAGGGATGACCAGGGAAGGGTCATTTAGCTTTCCTGCCCCAAAAAGCAATAGCAAGCTCTTTGAGACTGGGGGCTAGGGGTCAAGGGTCAACCCTTAGAGGTGACCTCTCTTCCCCCTCCCACCCGACTCCATGTTCCCTGTCCTCCTACCAGATTGCAAGTTCAACTGTCACAAACGCTGTGCCACCCGAGTCCCTAATGATTGTTTGGGGGAGGCACTCATCAACGGAGGTAAGAGGCTGGGGGCTGAGCGGGAAAGGGAAGCAGGACTGTGTGGAGGCCCCTCTGATGCCCCTGTCCTTCCAGATGTGCCGATGGAGGAGGCCACTGATTTCAGCGAGGCTGACAAGAGCTCCCTCATGGATGAGTCAGATGACTCGGGTTTCGTACCGGGCTCCCACTCAGAAAATGCTCTCCATGCCAGCGAGGAGGAGGAAGGCGAGGGAGGCAAGGCCCAGAGGTACCCAGGGCCCTCTCCAGCGAAGGCCGTTCTCCGTCCCTACAATGGGTTGACATCGCCCCATTCTTATAAATTTCCCAGGTTGCTGAGGCCAACTTTTTCAAGCATCTGAACTTTATTTTTTTAACCTAACCTTTTTTCCTGATTTACATTTTTAACAAGTTTTAATGGAAGCCTATTTTAACTTAAATTGTTTTTCTTTTATTGGAACTGGTAATACAGTCACTCAAAACGTATACAGTCAACCCCTCCCACTTCCCTGCCTCTCAGCTGCCCAGCCCCTCTGCCCAGAGGATGCCAGTGGGATTAGGTTCTGGTGGGTCCTTCCAGAAACAGTCCATATGGCAAAGTGACAGTACAAAGAGTGAGTGAGAATATGGACTCTGGAACCAGACTGCTGTATGGCCTTAGGCAAGAGATTAACCTCTCTGGGCCTCAGTTTTCTCATCAGTAAAATGGGGATAAAGTAGTACCTACTGTGTAGGGTTGTTGCGAGAATGAAATGAATTAATGTAAATCAAGTATGTAAAACAGTACCTGGTATACAGTAAGTGTTACTTTAACTCTTATCCCAGAGCCCTAAATCTTAAAAAGGAAGGGAAAATATCCATTTTCTTTCAACCATTTTGGACTTGGATTGATTTGTATGGCCTTAAACAAGTCCCTTCTCCTTTTGGTGCCTCAGTCTTCCCATCTGTAAAATGGGGAAAGGAAAATATCCCCAACAAACTGACAGGCAGTGGCTTTCTTCTGGCATGGAAGCTCTGAAAAATAATAATAACTTTTACTTAATTACACATTTTAAATTAGAAATGGAATTAATCTTCAACTTCACTAAAATGTGAGTTCAAGTGCTCGAGGGCAAGGATATTTATCCGCCTCCCAAGTGCCTAGGACAAGGCCTGGCTTCCTCCATGGATGACTATTTATCGAGGTGGCAGGAAAGCAGCAGGGCTAAAAGCACAGGGCACTGGAGGCTGAGAGATGGATCCCAGCTCCATCACTTAAACTGCTGGTTCTTTCTCTGCCTGCCTCGGTTTCCTCCTGGGGACTGGGGACGTGCCTTACAGAGTGTGCAAATTCTATTTGATCATGCAGGGAAAGTGCTTGCCAGGTTATAAATGCTCAGAAAATGGAAAAGGAGTTCTCCCTAGTATTTGAATCTTGAATCTCTAAAGTGGGAAGGGTGAGAGATGAATCCATTTGGAGGTATGAGAAGAAAATATTTGCATTTCCATTTCTCTATTTTTAATCTCATCCTTTGAACCTTTTCACATTTTTTCGTATGTTTTAGAAAAAAAATTTCTTTGAAGTATAGTTGATTTACAGTGTTGTGTCACTTCCAGGTGCACAGCAAAGCGATTCAGTATATATATATATATATATATATATATATATAGAGAGAGAGAGAGAGAGAGAGAGAATAATATATGTATTCTTTTTCAGATTCTTTTCTGTTATAGGTTATTATAAGATACTGATAACTGCTATCAAAAATAAAATTAAAAATGAAATGAGAGGGGATAGAAAATGGGGACATGCTATGTTACTTAGGGTCGTTAAAGGAGCCCTCAGTGAGGAAATGTTGTAGCTTTAAAGAGATCTGAGGGAGGGGAGGGAAGGAGTGGTGCGGAAGATATCTGGGGGAAGAGGCTACCAAGCAGAGGGAACAGCAAGTGCAAAGGCCCTGAGGTAGAACCAAGAATGTTGCAGGAGTAGCAAAGAACCTGGGATGGCTGAAGCAGGGAGAGGGATGGGAAGAGGATGGGAAGTGAGGCCAGAGGGGGGATGGGTATTCAGGTCACAGTGGTCACTGAGAGTTTCTTACTAGTGCCACCTGGCCCTAGCTACCTGGAACCTCAGAATCCCTTTCTCCCAGGTCTTTCCTGGGAGTGTTTAGTAACAGAATCATAGGCTATCAGAGTTGGACCTTGAAGGACTTGGGAGGGGAGGGCTGTCGGGAGAGGCAGCCTATTTCACAGATGAGGAAACTGAGTCTCAGAGAGGCAAAAAGAAGTGGCCAAGGCCTCTCAAGTCCAGGTATAGTGCAGGGATCAAGAAGATGTTGGTTCTGAAGTTGGGCAAGTCACTTAATTTCCCTCAGCCTTCATTTCCTCACTGTCATAATAGCACGTGCACAGATGAGAGAAATGAGGCACAGAGAGGTTGAGTCACTTGCCCAATGTCACACAGCTGGCTCCACAATCAATGGGCTCAGTACTAATTAGCACTTATTGGAGGCCCACTGTGTGCCAAGTACTGTGCTAAACTCCTAAGAAAGGCTTCACTTCTCACAGCAACCCCTTTGGGTGGTGAAACTGAGGCACGAAGTGGTTAAGTAATTTGCCAGGCAGCCTGGCTTCGGAATGCAGCCTCTTAATGTGGGCCTCTCAAGAGTCCCCTTCCTCATTATGGGAAATCTGGAAACCACAAAGGAAAAAAGTGTGGCCAAAAAAACCCCTGGTTGCCCAGAGATGCACCCCCCACACACACCCCCACCACCCCCCCTGCCCGGAACAGGCCCCTACCACCACCCGCCACGGCCCCAGGCACTACTGCTATTTTCTGCTTGTAACCTCTCACCCCTTCCTCTCCCTCACCCTCAGCTCCCTGGGGTACATCCCCCTAATGAGGGTGGTGCAGTCAGTGCGACACACAACACGGAAATCCAGCACGACGCTGCGTGAGGGTTGGGTGGTTCATTACAGCAACAAGGACACGCTGGTGAGTGGGTGGGGCGGGGTCAGGTGGGTGGGGCTAGAGTTGGGGAGAGCAGGGATTTGAGGGGGCGGAGCCGGTTGGGGTTTGGAGTGGGCGGGGTCATGCTGAAGGCTGAAGTAGAATTAGAGGGGTGGCTATAGGGATGAAGGGGGAGGGACAAGATTTAGGGGAGGGGCGGGACTAAGGCTAGGTCAGGGGCG